TATAGAAACCCGTACTTATTTTTTGAAGCAATATTTTCTTTTCTTTTATACTTACCCATATTAAGAAGGTGGTTCATTACATATGCGAGTTTATTTAATAGTACACAACTTTTTAACTGTATAAATTGGGGCACCTGTTCACATATTCTATAAGCTCAGTAATACATCTTCCATAGGGGCTGAAGGCCCAATTATACAAAATTGCAGTTATTTAACATGTGCAGCGCATACCCAATACAATACTTGTTAAGAGGTGCAAGTTGGTTCAAGTGGAAGGCTAAAAACGGAAAAAGAATAAACCCAAAAAGACATAGTTAGAGGTACCGAGAAAGATATGTGGGTCTTATGACTTCACACGAGTGTAACTCTTAATAGACCAGAATTCGTATAGCAGATCCAAATTAGTTGGAAAAAACTTCGATAATAATGATGATATAAAAGCGATCATTCTCGGTGGACCAGGACCACGGCTTTCTTATGTTCCATTTCAACGACACGTTTGGTAGGATCCACGATGGAGATGACAATCATAGCCATATTATCACCATGATCACATGAATTATATTATTGATTTCCTTCACGATAAAATTTACCGCAGAATAACCCTCGACTGTGGTGCACAACAGGAGACATCCATCCTCCTTGACCACGATAAGAGAAGATTAATTATTAGTAGGAAGACATCCAATAAAATTGGCACGATACAGAGGAGATTAGCATGGCCACGGTACAAAGATGAAGACGTGATAAATCCATAAATAGTCAAAAATTTCCCTGTAAAAACAAGTTCCAGTTGCCCTCACTATGTTTAATCTCCACCATCCGGCATCATCTTAAATGGTGGATGCCACGTTGTAATACCCAGTGCTATGCACTCACATGCAGTGGAGATGAGCATGTCATTTATGACCAAAGGATGGTGAATCGTCAGCACCGTTATTTAGGACAAAAGAAGGTGGATCTGCTGAACCATATACAATACACATGGTGCATAGGAAGGGCAGAGAATATCATTCCTTCACTCTCTGGGTATCGTTAAAAATCACTTTTATCATTCATTTACTCTCGGGCTATCATCAAGGATTATTTTTAGGGCCTCAAATAATGGGTTGTAGCTTTCTCAACCAAGCAACTAACATAAAAAAAGCAAAAAAAATAAAAAATCATATGCATTTTATAGGCATGGGAAGAACATAATTACCTATTTTAAATAGGGACTGTCCAAGTTTTTAATTTTTTTTGGAGGATTGTATAAAATGATGCCATTCATCTTTGCTATAAGGAGGTCACAATTACTTATCACTATCTGATGTGAAATATGATAGTTTTTGTGTGCCATAAAGTTTAAGAAAATTTCTATTGAACTTTGAGTTGGCAATGAAATAAATACAACCACCCAATTTCTAGTCAAGATTAATTGTGACCATTTTGTAACAAAAGTAAATTGTTTAATTGTATATTTTTCTCTTTTTTTTTTTTTAGAGAAAGGTTTCTATGCTTGCCCTACAGTATAGAAGTTCTATCCTCTTCTTTGTCTAACCGCCCACTCTAAATGGATGGCTAAGATTGCCCCAATCATGTCATGTCTTTACACTATTTTTTTTTTATTTTTATTTTTATAAACTGTTTTGACACCAAATTTTGGACGTCCATTCCTCTATTAAACTCTCATTAACGAAAAATATAAAAAGAATATTTTCAATAAAATAAAATGACCAAAATACCCTTGAAAATTTAAAGGGTATTTTGGTCATTATATTTTATAGAAAAATTATTTTTAATATTTTTTATAGGTGCTCCCCAATGAGAAGATGGCACATACCAAATTTCATATTCATACAATCTGTATAAAAAAAACTAAAAATAAATACTTTGAGACATCGGATCTAAGATCAAACGGTGAGTGACTCTCTTGATCAAAATTGAACGGCTGGATGGTAGGGGGAGCCCTTTTTTTAATAGATAGATCTAAGCAGTGTTTGAAAAATCGGTGATCTGATCCAGAATCAGGCGATCCAGTATCGCTCTAAGCCATTCTAGATCCAAGAAAAAACAAGATTCCCATTTTATTATTAAAAACCTTTAAAGCCATTTTGGTCTTGCGTAGACCTTGCACATCATCCTACTCCCCAACATCGTCAATGTTGTTTCAGCTCATTTTATATGGCTTTTATGTCCCAAATCTCTTCGATGTGGGACAATTATCATTATCCAATTATCGCATTAAATAAGTATATAGATTAATACTGAGGTAGGGATGGCTGTGCCATCAATAAGAGGGTGTGTGCGCGGTATTAAATTACATGATAAAAAAAGAAATAAAATTATGAAAAATAATAATTAAGTGATAAAGCCCACCACCCCTATTTTTTACGAAAAAAAATTAAATTTACTTACAAAAAAATCAAAATAAAGAGACTAATACTATTAAGCTATTATCTTATGAGATTATTTCATTATATGATTAATATTAGGCTATTAGCTAATTACAATTAAAAAAAATAGTACTAGCTTATAGGATATTAATAATAAAAAAAAAAATACTAATATTAGTTTATTGAATATTAAAAAAAATTAGTTTATGGATATTTTAAGAGAGAAAAATAACACTAACTTATACCACTTAATAAGTTATTTTTAAATTACTTTATCAA